TGAGTGCTTTTCACTCACCTCATAGTTCTAGCCGACCTGTGACAATGAGACTGTCACAGGTCGGCTCAGTAGATCGGGAGGTGAGCGAACACATACCGGCGTTCGTTCACCTCTCGATCCTGTCACGGCTCTCTGCCAGCTGGATTCTCCGCTCCGATCCTCCAGCGCTGGCTGGCGGAACGGACGGGGTGGGTACAGGTGGCTCTGCCTCTGGATAGGCAGAGCCAGCTGTCAGTCACGCAGCTGGGCGGATCCAGACATAATTGTCGGGATCCGCTTCAGCTGCGGCGTCTCAGTATACCGCCAGCAGCAGCTCGCGGTATACTGAGCCTAGGGTGACGGGAGGACGCTAGTTTGTGTCCTCCCGTTACCCTAAGGAGAACTATGGGGAAAAGCCTTAACCACATAGTTCTCCTTTAAGGGAGTTCCAAATCAGATATGTTGTCTTAGATTGTCCACTAGACATGTGCGATTCGTTTCGTTCTGAAATGAAATTCGGGGCGAAAATTCGGATGTATCCGAATTCCGAATTACAGATATAACGAATGCAAACAAATCCGAATTTCCGATTCCGAAATTCTTTAGCGGTAGTCTGTACGAAATTTAGGTTGTTGGACGAAATTTCGTTGCAGCAAAATGAGGAAAAAAAAATGTCTCTCAAATGTCACTTTGCTGCAACGAACGAACGAAAACGAAACGACAGTTCGTACAGACTACCGCTAACGCATTTCATCAGAATCCTGAAATGAATTGATTTTCGGCCCTGAATTTTGCGGTGTCTATTGTCCACCTTCTCCAAGCTCTTCACCCTGTAGTGAATAACCCTGCAAATGTTTGCATTGAAGGCAGCAGAGCATTGCAGCCATGATCAGTGCATCCCAAGTGCAATGCACAGGCATCTGCATTGTCTACATCCCAACCCCAGGTCTATACGGATTTATAGGGGTTAGAGGAAATACACAGAGGTCAATATGTGCTGTGACTGGTGTGGTGGTCTGTGGGTCCCTCTGCCTCGGTGGGACTTGTACTCTTCCCATTCACAGATCCCTGTGAATGATCTGAGAATGGATGGCGCGTTTGTGCATGGCTCGAACAATAATAGGACGCTTCGGGGAGAAGTATGTTTTAGGTATAGGAAGGGTGGGTGTTGAGGGTGGGGGGGTTGGCAAATGCGAAAAACAAGCGCTTTTGGGACCTCGCAGGGTCCCTTCCTCAGGCTCAACATCGACGATGAT